ATACTACTCTCACAAAATCGCAATGTACCTCCATGTTGTTGGTCAGCACTAGATTTTTAGTTAAACAAATTGTTAATTAGAGTATAAGCCTACTGCATAGTTAGGCAATTGATGTAGATCTCGCAATAATGACATATTGTTGAACAATATGTCATTATGTCATTATCTGTTGTTATGAGTTGGAGTTGATTAAAGAAAATATATTTAAGTTAATATAATTAATATTTATTTTTTTAACCAATCATGATTCATGACACATGAGATAACATATAGTTTTATTATTATTAGGTCCACCCACCTGTTTTTGTGTATGTCCTAATCAATATTTAAGATTAAATAATTGACAAATTTTACTTGACCGAATCCACCCATGACTTATGTTTATACATATTTATTCAAATGTGTAAACTATAACGACATCTATTTGCCTAAAGTATATAGTGCATTTAATTGCAACAACCTATATATCGATACAATTTCAAATTTATAATTGTTTTTTCCAATTGCTTTTAATATTTATTTAAGAAACTATTGTTCATATGATTTATTGACATAATGTATATTTTATTTTATTGATTCTATCATCTTTTCATCATACATACGTAGGTGGTTTACAAAATATTTGCATGTATATAATTTTTTATATTAAATTATATATCTATAATAATAAATAACATTAAAAATATTTTATCTAAAAGGGAGAATGAATCATATCCAAGATTGCATTAGTCCTCGGGTCTACAACTAGGTTCCTATGAAAAAATAGTCCAATCAAAATTTAAGATGAGATAAGAGATAAATCTTACTTAACTCAAGTCATGCTCAAAAAAATACACCACTAGTTCAATCAATATTAACCTTCATATATTATTTATATTTAACCATCAATATTAATTAATACCTCAATTTTCCTTATATTCTTAATAATATTTGTGTTGAATTAACGACAGAGTCCAACATTTCGGAAAAGTTGAAATAAACAGCTTATATCGCACAAACACAAACTCTTCATTCTTCATTCTTCATTCTTCATTCTTCATTCTTTATTCTTTATTCATCGCAGTCTCCTAATTTTCTCTATCTTCCAATTTCAACAATATGTCTGTCTCCGCTCACATGTGCCTCCTTCCGTTGACTAAAACAAACCTCGCCGTGCCGGAGAATCTCATCAGAATTCAAAACCGGAAACCTTTCTCCCTCCGATGCACCGGCGATTCATCTCCGGCGGTGGTTGATTCGGATTTCGATGCAAAGGTGTTCAGAAAGAACTTGACCAGGAGCAAGAATTATAATCGCAAAGGTTTCGGTCACAAGGAGGAGACACTCCAGCTCCTAAATCGCGAGTACCAAGCAAGTATGTCTCTCTTTTTTCATCATTTTATTATTACTTCAATTATTTTTTAACATTTTATTTTTTAATTTCATGCTAATTGAGCTGAGGATTATCCAGATTATCTATTTCAAAAAACCACTTTTAAAAATTTGTTTGATCTTAAAAAATGTAAAAACTCTTTTTATATAAGCTTTTCAAGCTTCTCTAAATTGCTATTCCCCATATAAACAGATTTTTTTTGTCATTAAATCAAACAATTCATATTTCCTATACATGCACTTAGTGTCAAGCTTCTTTTGAAGTGCTTATGAATCTTATGTCGTAAAAAAGTTTGCTGTTTTCTACTGGGGATGTTTGTATGTTTAATTTTTGCAAAATAGAGGAGAAATTGGATAATTTTAATCATTTGTTTTAATTTCTTTGTGGATTATCTAGTTATTTATTCCATTTCATGGGAATTGAGCTGAAAATTAGTTTTAAGCTTTTTTTTATATGCTTTATGACTATGCTGTTATTGGGAGTTACTTCTGTTTGCTGTTTTTTTTTTCAGAATTCAGATGTGCTGTCTTTTGTTATTTGTGTGTTTATGTGTGTAATGTTTTCTTCAGGTGACATCATTAAGACACTGAAGGAAAACGGGTATGAGTATACATGGGGCAATGTCACCGTGAGGCTAGCTGAAGCCTATGGCTTTTGTTGGGGAGTTGAGAGAGCTGTTCAAATCGCTTATGAGGCGAGGAAACAGTTCCCAACTGAGACACTATGGCTTACCAATGAAATCATCCACAACCCAACTGTTAATAAGGTCTCTTCATATTTCCCTATTTCCATCCATCATCACAATTTTTTAATTGGATTATACCTTACAGCTCATGGTGTTGGTAAAAATTGATTGATGTCCTGAAATATATACTCCAAATTTTTGCATAATAAATGAGATAATGAACTTGGTAAGTATGCAGCGGCTGGAGGAGATGGAAGTGCAGACCATCCCCGTGGAGGGAGGAAAAAAGCAATTTGAGGTTGTCAACAAGGGTGATGTAGTCATATTGCCCGCTTTTGGGGCAGCAGTGGATGAGATGTTGACTTTGAGTGACAAAAATGTTCAAATTGTTGATACAACTTGCCCATGGGTTTCAAAGGTATTCATTTGTAAAGATGGATTTCTAGTGTGCTGATTTGCATAATTACAATTCATATATCTTGCATCATGAAATATTGAGATTATGTTTTCAATTAATTGTTTAAGGTATGGAATAGTGTTGAAAAGCACAAGAAAGGAGATTATACCTCAATAATTCATGGTAAATATAGCCATGAGGAAACTGTGGCAACTGCATCTTTTGCTGGAAAGTATGTTATTGCGAAGAATATGGAAGAGGTTTGTCCTGAGTTCCTGCTAATACTCAACTTCCGTATATGTTTGGTGAATGTCTTAACTTGAAGAAATTTGTTGTAAATTTTGCATATTTCATAACTTTATCCAGGCTGAATATGTCTGTGACTATGTTCTTGGTGGTGAGTTAAATGGCTCCAGTTCAACCAAAGAAGCATTTTTAGAGGTATGGTTTCCTGTCATGTGATTAATCTTGCTTTCAAAGTCCTCTGGTCCTCATTGTCATGCATCTATTTTTGGTGGCAGAAATTTAAATTTGCAGTTTCTGAGGGCTTTGATCCAGACAAGGACCTGACAAAATTAGGCATTGCAAATCAGACAACAATGCTGAAGGGAGAGACTGAAGAAATTGGTTAGTTAGTTTTTTTACTTTTTTTGGGGGGGGGGGGGGGGGGGGGGGGTGTGAAAACTGATCAGTTACTTACTATTGTACTATCTCTCTCTTTGGTGAACTCAAATTGTATGTCTTCGTAAATTGCATACGCACTAATACTTGTGATATTTATTTTACTGATCATTTCACAGGGAAACTATTGGAGAGGACTATGATGCGCAAATTTGGTGTAGAAAACATCAATGAGCACTTCATAAGCTTCAACACAATTTGTGATGCTACCCAGGTACTTTGGCTTCTATAGTCTTTGATGCTTATTTTGGATTAGTTAGAAAGTGGTTGCAGCATTTTTAAAGCCAGTTATTAGTTGTCAGCATGCAAAACATACTTACCTATTCAGTCTAAGCAACAGTTGAATTGAATGTTCTTTCAGGAGAGACAAGATGCAATGTACAAGCTGGTGGAGAAAGATTTGGATCTGATCTTGGTAGTTGGTGGATGGAACTCAAGCAATACATCACACCTGCAAGAGATAGCTGAGGAACGTGGAATTCCTTCGTACTGGATTGACAGTGAGCAAAGAATTGGTCCAGGAAACAGAATAGCATACAAGTTGAATGTAAGAATTGTTAAATAGAAATCTATACTTTGTCAATTGTTATTAGCTTTTTACAGTCTTCATTTTCAACAATAATGCTTACTTTTCGGCTTATCAGCATGGCGAACTGGTAGAGAAAGAAAACTTTCTGCCAGAGGGTCCAATAACAATTGGCGTTACATCTGGCGCATCCACACCAGACAAGGTAATTTATCTTTCCTTATCTGTGAATTGATAAAAACTTGTAGCCTTCAATTCTCATTCATTTTGTTAATTTATCCACTACAGTTATGCTGTTGTAAATGCCATATAAAATGCTGAGCAATCCTTCTGGGTTATTTCTTTCAAATAATATCATGTTCATTCACTTAATACTATTTGCATTTTCTTGGATTTCAAACAGGCTGTTGAAGATGCACTTACCAAAGTGTTTGAGTTAAAACGTGAAGAGGCACTGCAACTCTAGTAAAGTACATTCAACTTTTGTTTCATTGTCAATGTTTAAATGAAACAAGGATCTCATCTCTGAGGATCTATTATTATCTCATGCAATGTATAATGTATCAATAACATAGGTTAAAGTCAAATAAAATTTTATAAATGTTGCTTGCTGTGGTATCATTATTTGTCTAAAACAATCTACCAGCTCAGTGTTATTAACATTACATTTGTAAATTTTGGCTACAACGAGATGAAAAAATTACTCAGATGATGGCCATGCCACACAAATAGAGGTAGTTCTTAATACAATAAAAGTTAAAGGACAAGTGGGAATTTCATGCAATTGCAACCTGTACAGTATGCACCTAACAAATTTTCAATTATGGGCCAAAATGATACAATATATAACAGCTTTGAATTGACCAAGAAATGAATAAACAGTTTAATAAACAATTGCATGTGGAAAATGAAAGTTGCTTAAGCTATAAGTAATCAAATATTATATGGCAATTTTTTAGTATTAGTCCAACCATGCGTTAAATGTCACCAATTTCTTTTCTTATAGTCATATATGTGGTGCTATTTGTTCAATGTATGTGGTGCGTCAACATTGACATTATTATTAACCAAAATGCATATAGGCAGCGGTCTACCTCTTTGAATGGCATAACAATATTATTATTCAAACAATTCAAGACACAATCGCTATCATTTGTCTAAAAGACTAAAAATGTAAGCTACATTGCAATAAAGGGCTAAGTCAAACACTATTATTACATGACACACATACATTTACAATAAGCTAAAAAATCTAGTAATAAACGAAATATATCATAAACATATACATATATTTGTCACCAAGCTATTATCACATATTAGTCTTTGAACACTTTGGAGCTGAAAAATAAATACAGCTTTGTCTTGGTTTCTTTAAAGCATTTCTTCAGGGATGGGTTTATCTTTACACAATATTTATGGTAAGTTACTTTACAATATTTATTGTCTTTTATGAGTTTATCTTATTTACCATTTATTTATTAATAAAAAATAAAAAAATTATATTTATGAATTTTCATAATTTCCAAAATGATTAAAATTATATAATATCATAGTATTTTTTTTAAAATAAAAAGAATTAAACTCTTCAATTAAAAACATCTTCTATAATAAGCAGAGAATAATGTTTACATTTTGGTGGAGAAACAAAACTTTGTGCCATAGGGGCCAATAATGGGTGTGACATCTGGTGCATCCACGTCAGACAAGGTAATTTCTCTCCCCTTACTTGCTATTTAACAAAACTTGTAGCCTTCAATTCTTAGTAATTTTTGTTACACTTGGATTTCAAACAGGATATTGAAGATGCACTTATCAAATGCAGGGAATATTTGCTACAGTAAAAAGTAAAGGATACTAGTCCATCTTCATGCACTTGCAACCTATACATTATGGACCTATCCAAATTTTAATTACTTAAGTGAGGGGACAAAATAATACAAGACATTTGAGCTTTGATATTTGGCCCTATAATAAACATTTATAATAAAAGACAAATATACATGTAATGAACTCAATATATGTAAATAATGTCATATCAAATGAGCTGCAAAAGATTTCTGCATATACTTCTTGAAGGTATAGTTCACCCATCTGTAAAATCCTTGGCTGATCAGCCAAAGAGGACAAATAGGTGAACACCTTGTCACATCGGTTTCGATTTGATTCTCAAACAATATGTGAATTTCGCTATAAATCCTCACTGATGTTGATGGCCTTTCATAACCTTGAACTTTTTTTTGCAACAAAAGAAGTACTTTATCATTGCTATATAATGCATGCAAGTTGCTATCATCCAATTGAAGAGTCTTCTTTTCTCATTTTGATGTCTGAAAAGCTATAAGCTAGCCTCTAATGCCGTCAGCTTGTTCAGATCGAGATGTTTGAACTATTTCGGGAACCTTGTCAAGCAAGCGGTTCATCTCCTCTGGAAACTCCATCTTTGCTCTATTACTCTTCCCTCCAATAACCACTGCTGTCCCATCTTGCAAGGCCCATACCTTTCAATTGATCAAAAAATAAATGAACAGCTTTAATATACAATTGAATGCTGAAAATGAAAGTTCATTAAGCTATAAAAGTGGAAATATTATATGCCAATTTTGCATTAAATGGCATGGACTTATTTTCTTTAAGTCATATATGGCTGCTATTTATTCAACTGTATGCTGCATTAAAACATGGACATTATTTTCAGGATGACATAGCAATGCTATTATCCAAATGAGAAAATAAGTTCATGTCACTATCATCACATGTCTTAAAAACTGAAAATGTAAGCAACATTAAAAAAAAGATGGAACAAGTCAAGCAATGTTTTTCTAAAGCCATTGCACCAAAATATAAGTAATGAGTAGTATAATGCTTGAAAAGTTTTAGCAGAAATTTCACCTGTGAATGGGATAAATAGCTGATGCAGGTTGTGAGCATTAGAGCACCAAACCCAGCATATACAATTGGTACACCTGGATCAGTCTGCATAAACAGTGAACAAAGGTAAAAATAACTCACTGGCTAAAGAAAAATAAATGGTTAAGACGACACCTTCAAGTCCAAGCCGCTACTCCCTATTGCATCAACAATGACAATTTCTGTGCCATTAATATTGATCGGGAGCTTTGAATTAGGTCGCCTAACTCCTGCGAATTTCCCTTCCGCGTCATAAATAACAATTGACTGCAGATCACGAGCAAGCATAGATCTAAAATTCAACACGGAAGAGAGTAAAAAGAATGAGATACACCTAGAATTCAGGGTAAAAGTCAGAATGACTTGATTCTGAGAATACACCTAAAAACAATATTCTCAGCTTCCTAATATTGAAAATCATACTTTAGTGTCAGAGTAAATTTTCAAATACTTACATTCCCTTAACATCAGAAGAGTTAACATCTCCAACGGGCATAAAAGTACCATAAAGTTTCTTATCTCCATTTATCTGTAGAGGTGCCATAGCCAAATTATAAGGTCCTTCATTGTTCTTAAGAATTTGCAGCGCCGAAATACTCCAATCTGTCTGGTATATTGTGATACCACCATATCTCAAAGGATCATTTACACTAATTGTTTTCCTCATTACTTCTTTCCCATCCATGTTAAAGAGGGAAAGATCAGTGTGGAACTGTGAAACCTGTGACATTAACCCAAAAAAAAACAAATCATACATCAAAGTGGTAACACAAGGAAAGCTGTCACCATAATTGAAATATGACTAAACAATGATAGAACTCAAAACCGTAGTTTTATTTTACTTTTACCTCTCAGGTTGAAATTTCAAGAATTATTCAGTATTACTAAAATTCCATAGAACACAAAAACAGCATTTACCTCTCCACTATCATAATAATCCATGTAAAATTTGTTGACATGAATCTCTGTATTAAAATCGTCATTAGGAGAGGAGAGAAAACCAGTAGGACCAAGAACATCTCCTGCAACAAAATTTAGCCCTTGGGGCACAGTGACTGAACCTTTGAAGCTCCCAAGAGCACTAAGGGTTCCTCCAGCCATTATCAGCAGCAGTGCTATATGGACTCCAATAGGGGCCAGACGACCAGCGAGCCCTTTAAAAGCATATAAACATGGTCCTTTCAAGAATATCTATAATCCAAAATCACTTTGTCAAATAAAAAAAAAGACATTCAAGCTATGAAGCACGAACACTTCAAAATAGTCGGTGTGTCTATGTCAGAAACGTATTCCTATTGAACATTTTCGAACACTCCTAATTGCATTCTACACCATTATAGATGGAAATGTCACAATAACTTAATAAACCTTAATATTTTATTATGTTTACAATGACAAGAATTCACTTTTAAAACTTCATTCTTCTATTTTAAGATTTGTGCTTTTATCTCAATCTTACATTAGTTTTATATCTTGCACCATAGCCATATTTTTCCCTATAATTCTAAGAATTTATGATATCCTTGTGTCAGTGTCATGTCATATCCCGGCCTGCTATCATTCAAGTTAAGTGTTGGCTAATGGCTAGTAACTACATGAATTTTTTTCCTGGTTGGTAGTAAATCATTCCCCAAATGTATGTCCCAGAGGAACTTAAAGGATGTCTATAAAAGGAAACAAATAGTTAAGCAAGAGTTATGATATTATAACCTCATATCCAGATCCCATCAATATAGTACCAACATCATGGATTGAAGCTCTTGGCAACGATTCTGAAAATTCTTGTTTACGTATAGCCTCCGCAGAGTGCAAAAATGACCATCTATTGAAACAAATTAGGCCATTAGTGATCAAGACATTTCCCAACTCAGACATTATGAATGCAGAAAATAGACAACCAAACCAAACCTTCTTGAAACCTTGACTAGAGGGATCTGCGTTGTGTAAGTGCAGGCCATGAGCGATGCACCAAGGAGAACCAACATTCCAAGAAATACAGGAGATGAATACATGTGATCAAAACCAAGGGCTAGAACCCATCTCCAAGTAAAAAATCCTAATATGGGATGATCTTCAGGGTATTGCTGGAAATAATGGTCCGGGGGCTCACCTTGGTCAATAAAAGTTCCTGCCATGGAAGGCCAGGTTTTAGCCATTGTCTAGTCATATTAAAACTCATTTACAGACAACAACTGTAAATAATTATATAGAAAGTCAAAAACCAACATAGCATATCTTTGGCTATTCAAAGTTCACCCTCAAACTGAAGATGAATTTGCATTAGATGACATATATTTTGGTAGTGGACACTTAAATTTCCCAATAACTAAAATCTTATGGAATCATGATATACTGTCAATGTAAAAGTCACACAAATGGTTATGGATGATTGATTGATAGTGTATAAAACCCAACATTGGTGGTGTATCAAAATTAAACTGGAAACTTAATTATAAGATAACTAGGCATGGGAGTGTATAAATTTTTTAGATTTTCATCCTAACTCCTAAAGTTTCCCTACCTCTCATGCACAAACACAACATAACCAATTTCCAAAATAGTTGAGAAATTAAAGTGGCCACCCACCAACAGCCTCTAAGACTATGAAAAGATTTAGAAACTACTAAAGATTCAAAATAAAGCTGGTTAATTCAGATTCTCAAAAGTAGAAAAGGAGAGGGGAAGGAGAACTGAAGCATATATTATATACCCAAAGCCATCAAAGCAGCAATTGTGAACATTTCCCCAATAGCCAAAGGCAAATTAGAGAGAATCTGCAATGCCCTTTTACTTAACATCTTGGCTAACCCAGAAACACCTCCCTTATTCCTTGACTTAACTGGAACATTCTCATTTCCATTCCCACTGCCACCATTGATATCATCATTATTCTCTGTAAGTGGAGGAGGGGACACTTCTGATAAGACAATCTTCTGAAACACTCCTTTCTTCCCCTTGTTGTTTTGGATATCTTGAGAGCTTTTCAGTTTAGAGTTGATGGTGAATGAAAGAGCATGAGCTCTGTTTGGAGGAATATGTGTATTGAATGAGAATGATTTGAATTTGAAGAAAGGGTCAAAGGTTGGGACTTTGAGGAAGTGGGTTTTGGGAAGACATGGATTTGAGGAATTTAAGGGAGTCATGGATCAAGTTCAAGACTTTGAAGCTCACTGTTTTCAGGGGATGTCACCTCTGTACTTTGTGAGGCATAACGACCACACTGGTTGGTTGGTTGGTTGGTTACATTATCCAAATGCTAGCTACATATTTTAATATTATTATATATCTTACACCAAAGAACACAAACTTATATATGCAACTCTTGTGTGTTGTTATAGACAAGACATTTCATGGGATAAATGGTTTTTTCTTTGCAAACGTTTCATAGATTATCTTTTATTAGCTGAGCTAATCAACACCTGTTCATTTATTAATAATAATAATAATTAAACTAAAAATTATATTAGAAAAAGAGAATGGACTTCCAGCTACAACCAAACTTGGATACGATTGTCTGTCATGAAGGATATTTGTTATTCAAACCAAAGAAAATAATAGGGAAAATAAGGACAATGTATTTATAGTATTCTAAAATTGAACCGATGAGATTTCCAACTCATAAATCAAATAGAGTCCAACTAGTTGGATCGAAAAACGTTCCAACATAAAATACTAGATTTATGGTCCACTCAATTCAACTGATTATTTTGGTTCAGTTTTTAAAATATATTTAAACATTAACTGAGCTTTTCTTAGGCTTGACTTATCTTTGTAGCTATAGTTTCTAATATACAAACTTGATATCTCAAAAATATATTATACGAAATGAGTTTTGAATAACTTAAGCCTTTTGTTTTTCAGGTTTTCTGGTATCCCACGTTTGAGTATAAAACTTTCCACAAATAACATCTAGGAGTCATATTTATCCTCTCCAAACAAGCTTTATCTTCAATTCTTTGACC